TTTTCATTAGCTAGTTAGCTACAGTAATAAAATGGTTCATTTAAGAAAACCCTGTCCAGGTGCCCTACTGCTGGAATGACTCAGGATGTAGTTCACAGGTTCGACCTTGCAGATGTGAAACACTCTGAACTCACTGTCAATTAGGTGTTTAAGGATATGTGTGTTATTCAAGTGCATTCAGCAACTGCTAAATCCAGTTCTTAAGCTCAAAAGGTCACTTCGTTTTGCTCATCATATCCCTTTTTTTTTTAACTGACAAAACCCCCATAATTCTATTTTTGATAGGCAAAGCTTTTAAGGAATACTGGCAATCTTTTACAGACTTGGTGTTTTGCAAGTGTTTTAAAAAAAATATAACTTTGCAGAAAGTCTTTCACAGTTTTCTATTTTTGCTCTGTATGGTAACAAAAACAGAGGATATTGAGATTCTGAGTTCACCTTTCATTTTCAGTTAAGAAAAAAAGTAGAGAAAACAAGGAATTTGAATATTGAGACAATTTTTAAAAAGATATTTAAAACACAGAATTTGCATTTTAAAATACTCTTGAATTAAGTTGAATATACAGAATCACTAGCTTTCCAAACACATTATTAAATGTCTTTTGTAAAGACATTTGTCTTTACAAAACACAGCAAAAATTCTCCTTTCCTTCCCTTTTCCAGCAATTTCAAGGTAGCACTTTACTTATTTTTCTTAAAATATCTCTTATCCTCATGCCTTTTCCATGTTTTGATGATACCATGACTTAGGTGCAGTGCTCACAGAACTGCACAATCACAGTGTGGTGGAGGTAGGAAAGCACCTCTGGAGACCATCTGATCCAAACCTCTGCTGAAAATCATGGCCAGCTAGAGCCTGTCCATCAGGCATCTGTAGACATCAATAAGGTTCTCCCATAGCCTTCTGTTCTCCAAACTGCACTCCCACTTTTGCCAGACTCTCCTTGTAAATCAAGTACTCTATTCCCCAACCATCTCCATGGTCATTCACACACACTCTAGGACATCCATATCTCTTGTACTGAGAGTTCAGAACTAGACCCAAGACTCCACATCTGTCACACCAGTGCTGAGGAGAGTGGAATAATCACCTGCCTTAGCCTAAGGACAGTGCTCTTACTAATGCAGCTCAAGAAGCATTTGTTTTCTTTGCCACAAGGGCATGTTTCTCATTCAACCTGCTGTCTACCAGAACTCCCACATCCTTTCCAGCAAAGCTGCTTTTCAGTCAACGCGTAGTCTGTATAGAATCATGAATTTATTTCTCCCAGATGCAGGATATTGCATTGCCCTTTGTTGACTTTCCTGAGATTCCTGTTGGCCCATCTCTCCAGACTGTCAAAGTCCCTCTAAGTGGCAGCACAACCATAGAATCATATAATTGGAAAAGACCTGTAAGATCATCAAGTACAGCTGTTAACCCAGCACTGCCAAGTCCTCACTAAACCATGTCCCCAGGTGCCACATCCACACATCTTTGACATACCTCCAGGGACGGTATGGAATGGACCAACCATTCCTCCCAGTGTTGCACTGCTTGCTAATTTTCTGAGGGTGCACTCTGTGCTATCATACAGATTACATCAAATTGAGTCAGTCTAGATTAACTTTCTGAAGTCCTGTCTTCTTCTTAGAACAATGATCTCACAAGATCATTGTTTAACAAGATGCACCACACTCTAGCATAGACAGAACAAGGTACTGTTTATTATGGTGAAATTTACTGAGGCTAAACATTGTTGGGAAGCTCAGATTTCCCAGGTGGGCATCCCCAGAAGTTTATGATAATCTACAGAAGGGCTGTTGAAGACTTTTCTCTCCCTTTGTTTCCCATTGATGTACAGTTGATCAAGAGGGTCTGAGTGTAAAGCACATCACACAAAAGTCACCTTGATCCTCCAAGTTGGTATCTTCTGGGCCATGAATAGCATCTAGTACAAGAGCAGGCTGCTGCAGTCCTTACTTGGGTTGATTTTAATAGCTTTGGAATTGTACACTAAGACCTCAGTAAAGCTCTCTCCTTCCAGAGACTAAAAAAACAGTCTTCATATACAGACATCTGTTCAGTTAGACTAAGTCTTTAATTTGAAAGGATCCAAAACATGACAACATTTCAAACATGATCAGTTCAAACTTTGATGCAATGACCTTACCGCAGAAGTGAGACGAGCAAGAATTTCAGCATTGGTTTCTGCTGTATCTTCTATTTTTTGATCAGGCCTTAAAAAAAATAAAAAATAAGATTTTATTATTTCTTTCATTCTGTTTCAACATATTTTGATTCCTGGAAAGTAAGGAGCTGTGTAGCCACAGGCACTAATGTAAAAGGGCCTTTGAGATTCCACATCAAAATGAGGACTACAGCATGACAATAATTAATCATGTCAGTAACAACAGAGTACACCCTTTGTCCCTTGCTGTCAAGAACTCTTTTGATCCGACCAACATGAAGCAGTGAGAGAATTCTTCAGCTATAAAAATATGATGAAGAACTGAAGAATGCAGGACCCTTCAGAGCAGAGTTGCTTATTTGATTGTATCTTTTGCTTTGCTAAAAACATACTCTATGTATGGAGCAAAGAGTTTTCTATCTATTCACCACCCAGCTTTGCTAAGGTGTGGAGCAGCACCTATGGAACAACTTAATGTAGATGAAAACAGACAACGTCAAAATAATTTTGTGACACATGAAATAGAATGGTCAGAAAAAAAAAAACTGAAAGTGAAAATAATACATTTAAGCCATAAATAACCAAACTAAAGCAACAGCTGAGACCAATAGTAACTCGCAAGAAAGAAACTTAAAGTGTCTTTTCAAAAGTAAGGCAGTAGAGTCTTCCTAGAAACCATCCCAGAAGCCTGTCCCACATGGAAATAGTCACACAAAAGTGGACAGTAGAGGATAAGACTGTGTTTTTCTTTAAAACAGTCTAATTCCCATCACTAAAACATCTGTAAGCCTTTCAGAAGCTTTATGGACAATCAGAAGCATTATACCAATATGATAGGGTTATAACTACAGGAAGTAGTAAAAGAAAATGCCCTTGAGATCTTTACTTTTCATGGTATTCAAGAAGCATGCCAGCAAGCTGAACAGATACACAAAACTGCAGCTGCTGAAATAAACATAAATCCTAGGTATTAGCAGAAGCTTCTGTCTTTGACTAAATTATTTAATTGCTTATATGCCTTGATGTCCTTAGGGAGAGAGCTGGCAAGACATCTGGAATATGCAGCTGGTATATTGAGGTTCTTACATCCCATGTCCAAAAATTTCATTCCCTGATTAAAAAATTAAGGTCAGAAAGCACAGAATGACACATGCATTCATTTTGGGGCAAACAAATTCAGATCAAAATGGTAATGCAGATTAAAATCACAGTTATTTTCACAACTGCCTTTCGTATTCAAAGAAAATGTGATTTAACATTTTAAGTGTTATAAACAGCTCAAAAGAAATCAATGAATGCATTTTCATTTACAAAGACTGATTTATTCAGGTTTTCTCTTTATAATTTGGAATGAGATTCAAATAACAGAACTTTTTAGATGTTTCTCTACACATCTGTTCTCTTCTGATCTCTCAGAACCAGACCAGGACCTGATTCTTCTAAATTGGAGGCAGAAGATAGCAGCTCAGTAACACAGCCACAGATGCAATCTATAAACCCAGAACAGCACATAGCACAGCTAGTTCCGTCTTGGGCCTTTACCTCTTCATTTTCTATTTAAAAATACTCCCAGTATTCATCTGCATATGATAATCAAATACTTCTGAAACAACAAAAACACTAAAAATTGGAATCAGCTCTTCAGAATCGGAGGGGAAGGGTATATTATGACACCCAGGACAATGGACAAAAGCAACAGTTATCACCCTCATTTTTTCAAAAGTGGACAGCTAGGACCTAGTGAGTCTGGTACCAAACAGGAGCTACCAAGCCCAGGCAAATAGGTGCTTATACCAGTGATCTGTGGGCTCAGTCTGCTAAGCAGAGTGAGATGCAGGGATGCTTGTCCTAGATCTGCAAGCAGGTAAGTCAGTTTCCATCCAATACCTGAGAGCTGTTTGTGTTCAGCAAAAGCTTTCCAGGAACTCCATAAGGCAGTAACTAAATCAATATCCCTTCCTGGCTGTTTGCATGAAAACCAAATTACTTCTAAGAAGGTTACTTTTCTAATATCAATAAAATGGAAATTGTTTCAGGACAGAAGACAGAGACTATAATGCTCCTGAAAATAAAAAGCAATGTAAGATTAAGAAAAAAAATCTCTGCTAACATACCTTCCAATAATTTTTAAAAGTATTATGGGATACATTTCAACAGTCCCGGCTACTGACTATATTTTTGAAATGTTCCCCAAATGTACCAGTGGCTCTGGGAATTGTTATAAACACTCCCATTTACAAAGAAGGAAATAAAAGCACACGAGGATTAAACACCTGATACAACACCATTGCAGTAACTGGAAAAGAATTCAGGAGGCATTTAATTCAGGATGCCCAAGTGATTGCTCAAGGTTGTAAGGGAGCCCATGGCACAGATTTCAATTGAGATTTATTGTTCCTAGGCTATTGCAATATTCACTTGTTTTCTACTCAAGCAGAATGACTGTGATTTACACTGGATGTTTAATGACCTAAAGAAGCCTCTTCGTTTGTGCCATCCAATTTGACAACATCTGCAGGGTCTGAATCCTGTGGAATATACACAACATTAGCCTTCAGATTAGCATGAGCTGCTGAAAATCTGCTACGTCCTGACTTGTTTTCCATGGTGAATCCCACCAATGTTATGTTGAATGTAAGGAATTTCCACCAAGGCCAACAGGGAGCATTTATTCAGGAATCATAAGCACATCTCAGACTTCAGAACAGTATTTTCATTGCAGAGTTTTCTACAGTAATTTGGTAACACCACTAAAACTGACCAGGAACAAATACAGATGCATCAAAAATCTGTACAGCAAGTCAAATCTGAGCTATGTTTATTTAACAGGGCTTCCAGAATAGCTGCTGAAGGAAGTCCCCAGAGCTGCTACTGCCTACTCAGGTCTACAGACTCCTTGTGGGAGAGTAGAACCATGGTACTCCAGAGACCCACTGATGCAGTCCAGGCAAGCAGAAGGCTGCTGCCCACAGTTGCAGAGAAGACAGAGGTCATCTGGCCTCTGGGACCACCAGGAGACATCCAATGTTCCCTTCTTGTACAAGCACGCAGCTGCTTCTGATCTCATCAAAAGCAGGGAATCTAATTAATGAAGAAGGAATTTCTCTACCCCTATGTACGTATAGAGTTAATGCAGTCAATATAGATTGTGAGAAAAGCTAAGATAGAAAAATAAGTACAAAAATATTAAATTATAAAAAAATCCTATGCTTCTAATGGTATGCAGAACAGCTTATATATTCAAGAAAAGACAAACCCTGCAGGGAAAGGTTTTTAGAATTGCTCTCTTTCCTCATGAAAAGGAGTATATGGCTTTATTTAAACAAGTCAGACAACTTTAACAAACATCTCTTCACACCTATTCCCTTTCTGACTGTGTTTTAGTAGTTTATTATTTGCATCAAACATGAAAAATTTTGAACCTGGAAAAGTCTCCTTCTGCTTTAATATTACAATCCCTTGAGTGTATACCATTACTTAAAATTCAATTCCTACAATATATATTTTTTCAAAAAGCACCCTCACAATCTGACAGGTAAAAGCTCAAGAAAACAATTTTTCAGTGACAATATTCCCAAAAGGAATCCAGCTTCAACTCAAATTTGAATAATGTGAGCAGAAAGGAGCTGAAAATGTACATTAATGAATAATTGTTCAATTCATGTGACAGGGATCATCTTCCACTGGAAATGACAGTTGCACTGAAATGATAAAACTGCAAAGCAGACTGTAAACTTGCACCTAAAAAGCCTTCAATCCCTTTTCCTACCCAGCATCCTTCACGTAACACATCAATATTACCTATCTGTTCTGTCCTTTTGATTCAAATCCTTTGAACAAGTAGACACAAACCATGAAAAGTGGTCTGATTTACAGTGATGAGAAAAATCCCAATTCCCATTAAAATCCAGATCAAAATGCCCTGATATTTAAGGGACAGACAAACTGTTTAGCACCAGAGGTGTCTGGAAGACAAGAATTTCAATTTGCAAAAATAGTCAAAGGTTTTCTCCCATGTGAGTCAGCTACTTAGAAGATCATATTCAGTCCTACTGTTCTAGCCAGCTTGGGGTTCTTGTCACTTGCCTGCACTCACTCAAGCTGGTCAAATAAATGCATTTTGAAGGGAAGCTCCACTCCAGAACTGCCAATATTTGATTGATGAGGGCAGTCAGCAATAGGGAAGGGAGTCAAGTTTCTGCCCTGAACCATGCAGAGAAATTACTGAGTTTTTTCCCTACCAGCTCAACATGTCTGAATTTCAGAATCTGGGCTTGAGACAGCTTACAGGGTCTTTTGACTTTGTGCTCCATTGAAATATTTCTACTGGACATTCATCTTCGAGAATGAGTATTTTTAAAAGCGAATATGGAGAGAAGGAAAGTACCCATAGAAAACAAGTGTTGTCTTTGGCATCAAAGAGAATAAATTCTAGTACTGCCAGAGTAATAGTTATCCAAAGTATTGGGTTTGAGGATCATTGTGCTAGGGACAATGAAAGAATTTAACTCAACTTGTCTGTTCTGGCCCACTCCTGCAGATTTACTAAAGCATAAATGGTCATGAGCCTCCAGAGTTCTCACTAACACCTTTCTCCTCTATTTTGGCCTCTCCCTAATAGCAACAATATAATAGAACAAATAGCTATGTTTTCCTTCTAGCCACTCTAAACAGGCAACCTTAGAGTGCAGACATATGAGCACAGAGAGTATGGTAACACTCAATAGCCAAGTGAAAGGAGAGATACATAGGAAGCAAAACTCTTAAAAGGCATATTCTGAAAAAAGAACAATAATGTGAGTTTACAGAGCTCTGGCAAACATACAGTAGAAAATTAAAGTCAAATGACTGAAGGTACCACATTTCCACCCATATTGTCAATCCATGTGAAAGCTGATCCTGACACATCACAAAGGGCATCTGACCTGCTAGTCAATCACCAGAGCATCCTTGCTGCCAAATTCATGCCAAGCCTCCAACATAAGAGAATACCAAAAAAAAAATCACATACCCAGGTAATAGAGCAAGCTAGAGATAGCAAGCTAGTCCCTAAAAATTGTCATATGTCTAAACCACCCAATCAGGTGCCTCCATTTTCCTAACCATACGGACTTTCTCAGATGAAAAGCATGTCTCTACAAGATTTTCCAGCCCCCAAAAGAAAGCTGTCTCATTTGAAAGGTGATCTGGGGGCAAACTGCCATTATAAGACCAGAGAACTGTAAGTAGAGAGTAGAAGTTGTAAACAGCTGTACATGCACACTTACAGATTGCACATGTCAATCCTGGGAGGAGACAGCGGCAGTAGTTGAAGTAGGAGCTTTACTCCATTCTTCCATGCTTCCTCTTTCTCAAATTCACAGAAAAGGTAGGTACATTCATCTGCTGAGAACTGGTAGAAAACATGACTGTCTTGAAAATAGAGTTGTCTGTCCACTGTAAGAAAAAATAATATTAGATACCCTCTAAACTTTCAGCGTGTAAAAATTCCTCCCACATTTTATATGACACTTGATCTTAATGCTGAGTTATACCATCACACAGGACAAAAGGATTGAATACTCAGCACAGGAACAATCCTGATCTCTCAGTTTAATTCAGTGCATCCAAACAGGAAAACCCCAAAACCCCAATTTAAAAATCTCCAGGATCTTGAAATTCAAGCATTAAGACTGATGAGTGTTTAATCAGTTTTGGAATCAGTTCAGGTTTAGGGAATAAAAACATTCCTCTTTTTCTTAGATTTTGTGAGTCTCAGTTTCCATTAGTTTCTAAACTGTTTTCACTAATGGTCAGACACTAGTAAAAAAAGTTCAGTAATAGGGATGCAGCCCATCATTATTCCAGCTTCTCCTGAAATTCAGGGCTACTGGATTTGCAGACTAGACCTGGATAGGAAGATGTATCAGTTTTCTTCCCTGAAAAAAAAAGGGATTTAATGGGAAAAAAAAAGGACAGAGTCCAAAGCCAAAAGCACAAGCACCCTGCAACAAGTAATTTAACCCTTGCTCAGACTGCATGACCAGACATGCTGTCAGTTTAGCTGAAGAAAACCTTAAAGTACACTTTCAGTGTACATATGCACAAATCTTCCATAACTACTCACCTTTTCACAAGGAAGAGGTTAAGTGTCTAGCACAGACCCCAGGGTGGGGTATGACCTGAGCTGAGCTACCTAAGTAGTTCCAGCCTCTAAGTAAAATCCATCATCTATCCAGAAACTAGTTACCAGTGTAATTATCACCAACCACATTAGCTGGACCTAATCCCTCAGTTTGGTGGGGGAGCTGGAGACAGCAGGGTAGAACCTGGCCCCACCACCATCTCAAGGAGCTGGAGCCTCTCTCAATCCATTGTAATTAAAAATTAGGGAAAACAGAGAGGAAAAGAAAATTTTTAATAGCTACAGAAATCATCTGGTAAAGCCATGATCTGCAGCGACTAAACAGCTGCTGTCTTATGAGAAACCTAAAATAGCTTGAGGGGGAAAAAAAAAGGCTGGAAAAGACACGCACTCTGTCTGCAACTTGATAATAGGCAATTACAGGAATGAAAAAGGGAATGAAATTGCCAAAAACAAGGGATTGATCTTTGGCATTTATGAAATGAAAGGTCATAGAAGTGAGCCTCCCAGAAAGATAGTAGAAAAAAGAACTGGCAAGAAAATTGGATCAATCTGTGCTTTCTTCATTCCCCTCCTCTGATCAAAACCACGCTCTTGTCCTGTGCAGGAGGAAGGGATAGCCTTCCTCACACTGCAAGTACCAGCAGGACTGACCTGACAATATAATGCCCATGTCCAGGAGGAGCTGCCACACTCCAACTGCTGTAGATCTGCACTTGACAAAAGGGCACTGCTCCAAAAGCCAGTCTACGAGTTCTGATCCAACACAACTTCTCCTGAAAATAAGCAAAACATCACTTCTTAAACTGCAGTAATGTTAAAACATTCTTTTATAATAAAGAGCTATTTTAAAGCTATCAAAAGTCAGCCTTTTTGTTCAGCAGAGAAAACTCTGTCTCAATTGCTAATTTTCGTAAACCTATTCATTTCAAGGGAAGAAATTACATTGGCAAGCCTCAGGGGATACCTCCAGCTACAGTGAGGGGACTTATGTTAGACGAGCAAGTTCCCTTATGTACCTGATTCATGTAGCATATTTTGCAATACATAGCATTTTTATAAATTTGTGCTGCATAAAGGTCATTCAAAGTTGCATAAGAGATAAATAAAATCCAGCTTTTTGCCTCAGCCTTTTATCTCATTTCCAAGCATGGCATAATCAGTACAGCTAAACAATATGTGTAAGACCTTTAAATGCTGCTCTAGGATGTACTTAATCTTTCATATTATTGGTAAATGTATATATTTAAATAAGAATAGTAGTGGATTTTTCTTAAACACAGGTGTGAACGAATGGTGCTGTAATAGAGAGCTGCACATTTTGGTGTAATTGAAAACAGAAGGAAGCATTTATGCTACAATGCAACACAAATGGAAAATCCCTTCATTACAGAAATATTCCATAAATTACATGCAGAAATCACTGTGTCACTAAATCTTGGAATCCAATTAAGCTCTTTTATAACTCCAAACCATGGCTGAAATGAATGCTCTCTTTTCAACAAAATAACTGACAAACACTATTGTATATGAAAACCATAAGCAATTGAATTAATATATATACAATCAGGCAACTGCTGCTTTCTGACAACTGACATTGTAATGTAAGAAAAAATATTAAGGTACATGAGACTTTAAAGAATTTTTTTTTTTAAAAAATTTAATTCTTAGTGACATATACAGAATCTGTCAGAATCTGATTTTGTCAAATCAGAACATAAATAAATGCAAATAAAACTCTTAAAGTTAATTAAAACAAATTATTTTTATTTACCTGCAAATGCCAGTAAGGTACACCCTGTCTTTAATCAGGTCAGAAGCCTGTAGAGTAAAAATATTCCTGAGCGCTCTCCCAGCACAGGAAGAACTTTCTCCATAAATCTGAATGAAAAGAGAAATTGAAAACTGTGACAAACAGGGATTTATTTGTGCTGTAGTAAATTTTCTTGCCACTGTCTGCTCCCTCCCTTTGAGCAATGCTTTCTTCACAGGTAAATGACAAGCAAGCACCCAATCTCATAAGAAATGCATTCCAGCTTCTGCCAGTTGTATCATGGATTGTAGATGCCCCACAAGCTGGGCTGATTTTAGATTTGCTGCCCTAGAAAAGGAGAGGTTTAACTATCCATCAGCTTGACCTTCAAACAAAAGACAATTTAAATGAAAATGTGTTATTCCAGCAAGGCAGAGACATATGAACCATTGCAAAATCACACAGATACAGTTTAAAATAAATATAATTTCCTATGTATTTGAGCTAAATAATGTATTTCAAGCCTAATACACACTGAAAGACTATTTTATGGTCTTTTCTTTTTGTTCAAAACCTTTAGAGGTTTCCTATGATAGCTGTAGACCAGTTCATTCATGCATTGCCAGGAGGATGTGGTCGGTCAGAATGGACACACCTCTGATTCCCACACCTGATTTCTGCCCTGCACCTCAAGACTGCAGATGTGTCTGCCAAAACAGAGCCCAACTCAGTCTTCCATAAAACCATGTTCCATCCAGACTCTCTGTACCACTCCCTACTGAAGAATTTACCCTGGGCTTCTGTTGTGCTGTTTCCTCACTGTCTCAGCAAAACACACCAAGTGACACAAAGAACTAACTTGATTCTGTTT